GGCCTTGTCTGTGTCCACACACCTGTTACATCTACACACCTGTTACGTCTATCTCTTGCCTCACCCCCCAGAGGTCCCCTGTGAAAACCATGCCTGCCCTGCGTTGGAGCGACTCCATCACCGGAGTGGCAGGGCTCTTCCAGTAACTGCAGTCCGGTTCCCAGCACAGCAGATTCAATCCATTTACGGGCATACAGCCAAACAGAGAAGATGTGAAGAGACTCCTGTGGGTTAAGGCAGATGCACTTTAGAGAAATGCTGTGTTCTGCCCAGCAGCTGCTAGACATTGGATCCCTTCTTTCACTGCGGTTGATGATGAAAAGGTGTGATGTTCGTGATCAAAACCTTCAATTTCTGGCTCAGAATAGGGAAATTGAGGAGCTTATGAGTGAGACACAGCATACGCTGGGCTCTTGGCGACATCCTTGGAATACCGCCTTGAACCTCAGCTGAATTGACTGGTACCTGGTGTGCATGTCCTAAGCGCCAGTTGGCTGATGCTCTCTGTTTGGACTTACCTGAACGTCACTGCCTTTTCAGCTCCCGAGAGCACCACAAAGCTGCTTGAAGCTTGCAGGCCTGCACTACCGCTGACTGCTTCCTGTACTCAACACTGCTTCTCTCTCCTGTGAAGGATGAGGCTGAAGGTGTGGACTGATGAAAATCCTGCAAAAGAAACTCCACTTCAGAATTCTCTTCCTGGGTCCTGGCACGATGCCTCAATGGCTAAATTCTCACAAGGCTGCTCCCCTTCCCATCCAGCTCCTTGCTTGTGGGCTGAAAAAGCAGTAGAGGACAGCCCAAAGCCCTGCACCTGCATTGGAAACTTGGACGAGGACCCTGGGTCTTAACTTTGAATCAGCTTAGCATTTTGGGAGTGAACCAGTAAATGGAAAAATCTTTCTGTCTCTCCTCTTTGTAAAATCTGAACTGCCTTTCCAATAAAAATAAATAAATATTAAGTAAAAGAATCTTCCTGGAGAACTCAAACTAAGACAGAGTGACTTTTTCTTGATTTCAAATGGGCTTCCCTCCAGTGAAAACAAGCAAATACAAGGCATAACTTTTTTTTTTTTTTGCACCTAAGTTTTTAAAGTTCTGGAAATTCATGTGTTAGATTTTGCTCTAAGATAAAACAGTTAACCAGGAAGGTCGAATCATACCAGCAGGGCAGCTCCTTGATTTAAGGGCCTTGAATCAAATTTCAGCTTTACTTTTCATTTCTGACATATTTATACACGCACAAAACCATCACCATAATCAAGAAACTTTCATGACTCCTCCCTCTCACTTTTTTCCATGCAACTGTCATTGTTTTTTTTGTCATAATTACTTTGTGTTTTTAGAATTTAATGTAAATGAAATTACATTTCATCAAGTGTAATTATTCTTAAATCCATTTATCTTTTGTCAATCAATAGTCCATCCATTCTTATGGATAAGTGGATATCTAATGTATATACATATATGCATCAACCTTTTTATTCACTTCTAAACAGCCATTTGGGTGTTTCTTCAGCTTTTGGTGATTATAATTAAAGTAAATACCGACATTTAGGTGCAAGGCATCACAGACACATAGGTTTTCACTTCTTGTGGCTAGACATCTAGAAATGGAATGGCTAGATCACAGGGGAGAAGCAGGAGCTTTAGTGTCATGGAAAATACATATGAAAAATTGTGTGCGGATTTCATATTTGTTTTGCATAACAGTGAGTTAATGCTTAATTTTCCACACACTTCTTAAGATTTATTTATTTTTGTTGGAAAGAGAGATATACAGAGAGGAAGCGAGACAAAGATCTTCCATCGGCTGGTTCACTCCCAAGTGTCCACAATGCCTTGAGCTGAGCTAATCTGAAGCTAGGAGCCAGGAGCTCTTCTGGGTCTCCCATGCAGGTGCAGGGTCCCAAGGCTTTGACCCATCCTTAACTGCTTTTTCAAGCCACAGGCAGGGAGCTGGATGGGAAGTGGAGCAGCTGGGACATGAACTGGAGCTCATATGGGATCCCGGCCCATGCAATGTGAGGACTTTAGCCACTAGACTATTGTGTCGGTCCCTCCCACACACTCTTTCTGAAGCCCTCTTATGTGTACGACTTTTTAAGTTAACCCACTGTTTTCCAAAGTGTCTGCATCATTTTGTGTCTTTTCCTTTCTACTGGTATAGACAGTTCCTGCTGCTCTACATTACCCCCGGTCCTTGGTATGATCTGTTTAAATGGTAAGTACTTTATGGGCAAATGATCACATCCCATGGTTTTAATTCATCTTTCCCTCAAGACCAGAGATGCCGACTCTCTTTTCTTTGACTACTTGCCATGTGTACAACTTTGGTGAAACATCTGTTCAGATATCTGGCCCATTGTTTAATTTGGCTTTTTGATTTATTATTAACGTTTAAGACTATTTTCACAAATAATGTCTTGTGTAGACAAGTATTTATCAGATGCTTTGAAAATATTTTCAAGTCTGTAGCTTATCTTTTAAACATTGTAACAGGGTCTTTGAAAAGTCATTTCTTGATTTTGACTAAATCCTACTTATTAGTTTATGATTTCTTAGATTGATCTAATGGTATCACAGCTAAGAAATCTTTAGATAACCAAAAACCACAAAGATTTTCTCCTGTGTTTTCTTCTAGAAATTTTATAATTCATGATTTTAGCATTGAGGTCAACGATTCACTTAAAAAATTTCATATGATCCACTTTGAGTTAACGTTTGTGCATGGTACAAGATATGGATTAAAATTCATTTTTTTTTTTGCATATGGCTATCCAAGTGTTCCAGCACCATGTGTTGAAATCGCTCATCTAATTTTAAAATATGGAACACATAATTCCAGTGTGGTCCATAGACTATCTCAGCATAAGCATTCCTAGTGCTTGTTAAAAATGCAAATTCCTAGGTCTCACACCAGCCTTCTGAATTAAAATCTTACAAGAAGTATCTTAGGGTATCCTTGTGGGCACTAAATGTCAGCAACAATTTTCATAATTTCAGTTCATCCATTAACACTTTACATCGAGTCAGTACTGCTGTCATCAAATATGGAAAATACATAATTTGGAAAACTTTATCAAAACTCAACCTGCTCGGGAAACAACTTGTACAACTTCGACAGCAATTAGAAAAATTGAAAGTAGAAAAAAAATGAAATGAACAGCTACAAAAAGTTTTTTAAAAATTCATTTACCAATATGTGAATAATAGTCATAATGTTCATGGAGAGTTTATGTTATAAAAAACTTTATGATTTTCAGCTTCTTTTATGTCAGAAATTTAATCTGTTAATTCTATTTCCCCACAAAAAATTTTTAACTATTTGTGTGAATATGAAAAATTTCTTAGCAGCAAAAAAAAATCTTAAAGGATTTATAAATAAGAGAAGTAATAATCTGGAAAATATTTTTTATTTTTAATTTTATTTTATTGGGAAGACAGATTTACAGGGAGGAGCAGATACAGAAAAGATCCTTCATTCCCTGGAGGATGAGCACTCCCTACATGGTCACAACGGCCAGAGTTAAGCTGATCAGAAGCCAGGAGTTTCCTCTGTGTCTCCCACGCAGGTGCAGAGTCCCAAGGCTTTGGGTCATCCTCTACTGCTCACTGAGGCCCCAAGCAGGGAGCCGGAAGGGAAGCGGAGTAGTTGTTGGGACACAAACCGATGTCCACATGGGATCCTGGCACCTGTAAGGCAAGGATCCAGCCACTGAGGCACCATACCAGGCCCTGAAAGATATTTTTCAATGAGACAAATGAATGCTTTTAATGTCTGAAATAATTTAAACGAATAAATAAACTCAATAAGAGATGTAACACAGCAATGAAGTAAAATACAGCATTGAGTTTTATATGGGAATATATTTCTTATTCAGCAAGATCGTGTTAAAAATGCATTTTACGGGCTCAGCACGATGGTGTAGTAGTTAAAGTCCTTGCCCTGCATGCCCCGGGATCCCATATGGACTTTGGTTCTAATCCTGGCAGCACTGCTTCTCATCCAGCTCCCTGCTTGTGGCCTGGGAAAGCACTTAAGGATGGTTCAAAGCCTTGGGACCTTGCACCTGCGTGGGAGACCCAGAAGAGCTCCTGGCTCCTGGCTCTTGGCTTTGAATTGGCTCAGCTCCAGCCATTGCAGTCACTTGGGAGTGAACCATGGAGTGGAAGATCTTCCTCTCTGTCTCTCTTCCTCTCTGTATATCTGACTTTCCAATAAAAAGGAATAAATCTTTAAAACAATGCATTTTACGCGGATAGGACAATGCTTGCGATGCAGTAGAAAATACGTTCCAAGTTGTCATTTCCTGTCTTCGCGTATACAAAGCAAGGTTGGGAAAAAGTGCCTGAAAGCATTGGTCCAGCACGGCTGATGAGTTCATTGAATGATCGTTTTGTCTTCTCATCAAGGCTGTAGGATAACCTATGACTATATAGTTTTTCACTTTCTGTACAAGCACAGTACTAAAATTACATAAAAATATTCAGCACTTATTATAACAGGACAGCTCTATGTCCAATGATATTGACCAGCAGTAGGATTCTAATAAAAGTATTCTGAGCACATTTGGGTAGGCTGGCTAATCTATGGCATTCAGAGGGTCAGACGCACTAACACATTTTCAATTGACTATATTTTCAATTTATGATAGGGTTGTCAAGACACGACTCCATCACAAGTTGAGAAATAACTGGATGTTCATAGGTGATATTTTTTAAGATCTCTCTGATGAACATGTATATATTGCTGATGCAATCAGAAAAGAGGAAAAAATATCTATTTTTGAAAAAAATGCCTTGAATTAATATTTCCTTGGAAAAGTCAGATGTTGTCGTAAATACGAAGAGGAACCACAGGAAGGGCTTTGGAAGAGCCGCAGACGTGTGCTGCACAGCTGTGTCCTGCAGGAGAAGACAGGTGTGAGCTTCCTGCTTTGCCATGTCACCAGCTGGGTAAGCGCTTGGGATCACCACGGCCTACAAGTTCCACACAGGTGGGCAGATTCTAACGCCTGGGGGCATAGTCTGTTTTCCTGATTGTGTGTAGACTCTGCCCCATTCAGAGAAAAAGAACAAAATAATCTGTGTATTGATTGGAAAAGTGAGTGGGATGTGGGGGAGTAAGTGAAAGCACCTCTCTACCCCCAAGTCTGCAGTGTACAAAGCCGTCTCTTTGCTCAAGGACTGCGAAATGCTTGCTGGTGTCATCCCTCTTCCACAGTTCAGAAGCCAAGTCTGAGACCTACAGCAATTTGGAAAGCCATTCCTATCTTCCGGGTCTGTGCTTCTGAACTTAAATTGAACTCTGGCACTTTCTTTCCCAGGACGTTAGAACAATGTGACTTTTTGTTTTGAAGAATAATGTCTTTAAAAGTCTCATAAAGGAGTCGTGTCTGTTCTTGGGTATCAAATGGCACTATAAACTCCAGTGCCTAAATCTCATGTAATTGTGAATGAGCAAGTTTCAGCGTAGCAAAAAAAAAAAAAAAACAAAAAAACAAAAAAACAAAAAACAAAACCGTGTAGATTACGTACCTAAGAATACGCGCAGTACAGACGTAACAGAAATGTACTTGTGTCTTTCAAAATCTGGTCTTAGAAATCACACCAACGACGACAAAAAACGACACTAAAAGGCACAGATGTCGGTTTCTGGATAACACATAAATTAAACGGTCAATGAAATTGTCAAGTAAAGCTGAAGAAATCTCCCAAGTGAAACAAGACTTATTGGGAGGAATTTGTAGATATTTATTCTTTGAGTAGTTTTATACTTTTAATTTCTGGGTAATAAGGATACAACTTTTCCTTTAGACTTTATTTGTGATCAATACTAAGATAACGATGATCAGCACAGCTTCTGAGGGGCAGCCTCTGTGTGCAGGTTCACCGTGGCACTTGGCACGCCTGTACCCTACGTTGAGACCCAGCTCAGCCCCTGGTTTCAGTCTCCCGTCAATATACATTTGGGGGAGACAACAGGTGAAGGCTTGAGTGGTTGGATCCCTGTTGTGTGTGTGGGAGACATGGGTTGATTCGCTGGCTCCACAAATCCCTACGCCCAGCCCTGACTGTGGCTGGCATTTGAGTAATGAACTTACAGATGGCAGCTGCCTGTCTGTGACTTTCATATAAATGAAATTGAAGAAAAAATTAGAAAAAGTAACTACTGAGTGTCCAATGTATGTAGAATACATCTCGTAGAAAAAAATTTAAGTGTAATTAAGTATTATGAATACTTTTTCCTGTGTAGGACAGCGTGACTGTAAGTTAAAAAAGTGAAGCAACTTTTCTAAAACAACGGGCACGTGTTTTCTTCAGAAAACCCAGAGAAGTTTTAAATAATGGCGCTGAGGGTTGAGCTGATTTTCACGATATGATGGCTTCTCTCTTTAAAACCAAGACTTTCTGTAGCATGATTATTGTGATGTTGCTTCAAGACCAGCATTCCAATCTTTGAGATAAGAAGAGGACCCAATACAGTTTCTAGAACATTCCTGTAGGATCAGATTTCTCCGCCATGAAAAAAAAAAAGCCACACATTATTTCATTTACCTGTATCTGTTAGTGTGAAGGGAATGGAAAGAATAGAACAAAAAGATGGAAGAGCAGGATTATCAGTAAAGTGTTAAGTTCTGGACCCCAGTTCACCTTTAGAAGGTTTCAGACCCAAATTTCCAGCCCCATCAGTCCTCGCCAAACCACGAGCCTTGAGCTTAACCTGCCGCATGGTTGAGTAAGTCCCGTGTACAAGCGTCTTCAAGTCCATAGAAAAGTCACATTACTCTTTTGCTCCGTTGCCTCATGAACACACGGAAGGACCCTCCTATCTCTGCAATCATGTCCTGCCTTTGTGGCGATCACCCGTAGATGACATTATCAATAATTTGAGAGATCTTTGTTACTCTCTTTATCAACACAGGCTTGATTTTTACTGGCTTGGGCAGATCTAAAATATTTTGCTTCTATTTCTTAGCTTATTTCTTCTGCCCCTTCTTAGACAGTCTATACTCAGGTGAGCATTATGGCTGAAAGCTTCTCATTTGATCCTCAAAGCAATGCTGCTCACCTGGCAATATGTGACCTATGATTTTGGGAAATCTGTATTGTTCTGCCCCAAATAAATTTCATTGGATCGATCCTATGGGCCTGAAAATAATGTGGTCTGAGGTTGTGCTTACGCTTTTAGTGATTGTCAAAGTGATCACTCGCACACACGTGCTTGGAAATATTTTATTCCCTAATTGTCAGCCATGCTCTTCCTCATAGAAAAAAAAATTTCCTGGATCTCGTTACAAAAAAAAAAAAATTGATTACCTGATATGAAAGCAAGCGCCGCTTTTCAAATTGAGAATAATTTACTGAACGCTAAGCTGGTGTCCCAGCTTAGGGGTAGGGGAAGCATGAAGGGTAGGGGAAGCATGGGGGTAGGGGAATGAAAGCTGAAGCTAAGCTAATTTCCATCTGCAACTAAACTAGCTTATATTTGGCATCATGGAAACAGGTGATCTTGGGTCATCGCCACTGGGACTCCGGGTATTATTTCCCCCATTTTACAGATGGGAAGACTGGCGTGGAGGTGTCACTTGCCCATATTCACTTTTTCAGTGAACTAAGACTGTCGCCTGAGGGGGTTGTGAATCCCAGTCCTTTTTTCTTTTGATTTTTCCAAAACATATGTTTTCCCTAATATTTTCATCCAAGATACACCATGTAGGTATTTTCATGCAAAAATAAAAACTCTAGTTGGTCCAAAGTGAGAATTTCAATGCCCTGTCTAAATCTTGCTGGCTGTTGCTGTACCACAGGAGCAGGAAATTATCCAATTCATGAGAAAATTCATGCACCTGTGGATCTCCTCTTTTGTGCCAGATGAATAGGTGAGGTTGGGTTTGATTTGCTCCATGACTAAACTCTCAAATTGGGATTTAAAATGGATGTGTAATCTCACCGTGGTTCCATTTCTCCCGTAATGCTGCCTAATGGTTATGCAAGTCTCAGAAATGTATTTAAAGTAATACCACGTCCCTTTATCCAATAACATCAAACCCAAATCTTTTCTGTTCACTCTCGCTTGACCTCTAACCTTTAAAGGTGAGTCCAGCAGCTGCACGACGCCTGATCTTATTTTCTGCCCCTGGCAAGACTTTTTCAAGTTCATCTTTTTTCCCTTCTCTCAAAATCTGATGAAAAATGAAATGTCAGGAAAACAAGCTCTCGGGCTAAAAAACTTGTGTCTGTCTCTGTGACAGATGTCAGTTTGAAAGGTTTCAGGTCAGCTGTCAGAAGTGTACCCGTGTGATCTGCACTCACATCGGCTTGACCTCACACCAACGTTGAGTTCTGCTTTTAAAAATATCCTTGGGAAAAAAAAAATGAAATGATTTCAAGTCATAGCCTTTTCCACTATCTTTTAACTCTGATTAATGAGACAAAGGAAGGAGGTGGGGGGTGGGGAGGGAAGACACAGAGAGAGAAAAACAGAGAAAGAGACTTTTTAAAAAGGACAGCTGACCTTTGAGGGCCCCTGGCAGTGAACCAATCAACATTCTTGTAATCCAAACACAGATGCCTGGAGCTAAACAAATCCTATACTTGTGAACAAGAATTCAGTTTGCTGTCAAAATACTGTGAGGATCAGCACAACGCTGCTTTAACAAAATATCATGAATTAACATTTAAATGTTTGTGTCTTATTAAATATAAACTAATATTAAGCTACATAATGTCTCAGTAGTGGCTCAATTTAGTAACAGATATGTCTGTATGTTTTTCAAAAGTTCTTTATCTGAAATCCATCCTGGATAGAACTCCCCGATATTTTATGCCAGAAACTCAGCTGCAATGACAGTACTACTCAGTCGTTTGTAATGACTAATTAATGGAGTTGAACTCCGTTCTCTTTCAGAACTAGTTACACAATGTTTGAATTATTTATCACTGTGATTAAAAATGTTTTTCTTTTTTAAATGAACTTTTATCATCTCCTAGGCAATTTAAGAATTTAAAAAAAAATTGATTCATTGGTTTGGGAGTAATCTCAGGGCTTTGTCCTGTAGCCAACAAGATAAAAGACTGCAGTTCTAAAGGGATGTTTGCCAAATCTCTACTGTAAACAAGGGGCCAGATCAGAAGAGATGAGAGAACCTACACAACTCAAACCCAGAAAAGTTAACAGCATGATCGAGATGCTGATGGCTACTTTTTTCTTTGTCTTTCAAGTAAATCATGTGCCCCTTGTATCTTTGACTTGAGGACACTTGTCCCTGAAACAATACTGTTTATGTGTGTGAGTGCATAGCATTGGTGTGTGTAAAACTTGGGGGAAAGGATGTCTGGGTGACACCATGCCTTACCAGGTAGTTTCTTTCACACTGCAAATTTTTTTTTTTTTTTTACAGGAATCAGATCTTTCTTTCTTTCTTTCTTTCTTTCTTTCTTTCTTTCTTTCTTTCTTTCTTTCTTTCTTTCTTTCTTTCTTTCTTTCAACATTTGCTGATTTACTTATTGGAAAGTCAGATTTACAGAGAGAAGTAGAGAGAGCAAGAAAGAACTTGCATTCGCTGGTTCGCTCCCCAATTGGCCACAATGACTAGAACTGAGTTGATCCAAAACCACGTGCCTGGAGCCTCCTCTGGATCTCCCATACAGGTGCAGCAACCCAAGGCTTTGGGTCATCCTCTACTGCTTTCCCAGGCCACAAGCAGGGAGCTGGAAGGGAAGTGCAGCAGCTTGGACATGAAGTGGTACCCATAGGGGATCCCGGTGCATGACAGGCCACCGAGCCATGGCACCGGGCCTGGGAACCAGAGTTTTTGCAATCCAAAGTTGAATTCCGCTTTTGAACAAACTAGGGCTAAGAAGCCGCCGGGGGCAAAACAGTTAAAACTAAGAGTAGTCAGAAGTATCAGCAGTGTTTAGACGCAGATAACCACAAACATCCTGGAATTTACTTAAGCATGTCTGAATTCCCAGTGAGTCATGTTTACAGCTCTCCAAGTTCGTTTACTTTCCCCTCGTGATTTCCCCGGTTGGTCACTCACTGTGCAAAGCAGAAACAGAATCTTCCACAGCAATGACAGTCCCCATCCTTGACCTACCTCTGTGTTTCTGCTACCGATGGGGAGAAGCGTGACCCTCACTCCAAGCTGTACCCATTTTCTCCTACTCATTACATATTTATCATATGAACATCAAGTGACACAGCAGGCAGCTGCTTCAGCGGGGAAATAATATTGGATGACAGAGTGCCTGATTTAGCTTTACCAAGATAAAATGTATCCGAGTCAATGTTTCATTTTCTTTCCGTGTGTGTTAGCAATGCATGTGATGGCTGAGATGTTCACACCTGTGAATCCATACTTCTGCATTCCACTAAAAGTTACTTTTGTCCTTGACAAAAATTCGTACTCTTTGGAGGGCTGAGATCCCTTACACAAGGGGGAGGTTGTGTTCTTCGGTTGCAGTCAACAGGCTGACTCCACCATTCTGCAGCCATTGCTGCCTAATCACAGAAGCACCAAGCCATCAGCTGTGTTACCCACCACAGAGGAAGGCTTTAAGATCTACCATGCCTGTTCTTCCACGAGGATTTGCTTTCCTGTGGCGGCCTTCATCTGGTGAGCCAGCTGGACTCCCTCCACGCTCCGAGGTCAGCGCAGAGGTTGCACTACTGTCCTGCTCAATTCTCCTTGAAAGAACTCCGAACGAACCTTCCTCTGTAAGGGAATTGCTACAATGATTTGGTGATTGATGGAGGGGAAAAAAAAAAATACGGATGAGATGGCCATGGTGAAAATATATATATTTTTTCTCTGGCTGAAATTAATAATTCTGGACAGCACTAAAATTAATTACTCCGTGGTTATAAGTAGGCAGCGGATTTATGGTAAATGACAGAGTGTTTGCAAATTTTCCCCACCACTCGATCAGAGAATGCGCAAGGGCAGGCGGCAGCCGAGCATGCATTATTTAAGTGGTTGGTGTCTGGCGACAATCTGGAAACTGCAATTGTTGTGGTTGCCCTAGGAAAATTCGCACTTTCTGAGAGAAATTCTTTCACCTTTGTGTGCCCACAGCATGGATCTCCCCTCGTGGCAGCTGGAGGAAATATAGGAACTCCGTGACCTGGAAAATGTGGGACAACTGACGCAAGGTGACCCTGGAAGGCTGGGGTAGGCCCAATTAATTTAAAATTTTGCTTGGCCTTGTCTCTTCCAATTTTCTAAATCCTCTGGAAAAATGATTAATGCGTACACTGCCAATGCGAAAATATTTTTGACCCTATTAAAGTCGACCAAGGGTAAACCAAGTGTAGGCTGGCATTGTATCAAACTAGCTTTATTAAATTTGATTGGAGGTTTGTATGAGGAAGGGACAGACAAGGACATTATTTTGCACGGCGGCTCTCTTTTAAATGAAAATATCAAGAGGAATACAAAGTAGCAATATGCCCAGACAGGCATCATTTTAAATGTAGGAAAATACAGAAAGGATTCTGTTTAAAGCGTATTCTGCATTGGCTAGACAACTTTCTGCTTTCATCGCTAAATTGGCTGATTAGCAACAAGAGTGTTTTAATTTTTGGACCGCCTGGGAAAGTCTTTATTTCTTCATCTATGGATGAGCTAGTTCAATCTTGTATTTTCTCTCATCTGTCATTGAACACTGCGATTGAAGATAATATTACATTGTGAACCTTGGTGGGTGAAGGCCCCTTCTCAGTGTTTCTCCAATGCATCTATCCTACACAGTCATCCAACTAATAAAGAGATACTTTCTTCCTACTGGCCATGTGAATTTGAATAAAAATGGCAGAGTTTCAGCCAAGTGTCTAAGGACAGAACTTCTAGTAGGTATTTCTTCTCTCAGTAAGAGAAAAATCCATGTAATTGTCAAAAAAAAAAAATTAGTGAACACTTGATTTAACTTAGGATATGACAGCCAGATTTCACCTTCTCGGACCTTGCAATTAGTCATCTTGTGAATGTCATCAGAAGAACAGAAGAGTAGAAACACCATGTGACCCAGATCTACCACTACAGGGAATCTCTTAAAGGAATGAAATCAGCATACGAAAGACACCTGCATCCCCACGTGGATAGCAACTCAACCCAGTAGCAAGAATATAGGGTCCTGGGCAGAAGCCTAGTAGCTAAGGTTCCATATGGGCACTGATTCTAATCCCAGTGGCCCTGCTTCCCATCCTGCTCCCTGCTTGTGGCCTGGGAAGGCATGTCGAGGACAGCCAAAGGCCTTAGGACCCTGCACCCACATGGGAGAGCCAGAGGAGGCTCTGGGTTCTGGCTGTTGTGGTCACTTAGGGAGTGACTCTTCAGATGGAAGATCTTCCTCTCTGTCTCTCCTTCTCCCTGTGTATCTGCCTTTCCAACAAAAATAGATAAATCTTAAAAGAGAATATAAACTCATTCCACAAGTCTAGCAACTGATGATTGAATAAAAATAAATGTGGTATAGGACACTTAACTTACCATGGCATATATGGTGGAATATTACTCAGATATAAAAATGGAATCCTGACAATTACAACAGAATGGACATAGATTATTATAGTGAAATAAGCTTGACTTAGAAAGACAAACATCTGATGTTTTCGATGTGAAAGTTAATATGTACTGAGGTTATAAAAATTATGTGAGGCATCATTTGGTGTGTAGTTGTAAGCATTGCTTCACTGAATCATACCAGGTAAACGAATTTTTTTCCCCATCTTCTGATCAGTGTCAGGCACCCTTCACTTTGTGATTTTATCACTCTACTTTCAAGAAAAGTTAGTGTACATATGTGCATATGGGTGTGTTTGTATATCATGTCTACTTTGGAAGTGGATGTGACAAATGTTAAAAACACTGTCAAATAAAATCACCTCGAAATTAACAGCTATGAAACAAAGGGTAGGAGGCTACTTCCAACATTTTGTGGAGTTGGAATTAAGCCTAATTCATGTTTCCGTGAACTTGCTGACAATCTCTAGTGTAGTTTATCGTTTACCATGTTCCTGCATGGTAGGAGTGGGTCTTAGTGAGCTGGACGTTCTTAGTTTATCACGGATACTCAACAAATGCCTAAACATCAGAGATCACCTGGAGCTGCCTACACAACAGAAAACTGCATTGACAGCTAGGGAGATAGTTCAGACGATAGTGATAGCTCAGAAGTGACTACAATACGCTGGTCACTTCCAGACGTTTCAACATTTTAGTCTAGCAACCATGGGTGTGGAATTCGGGTAGTGAAGGGATTGACAAATCAGATCTGTTTAGGTTAGCTTTGCCACAGACTTTCTAAATGACAGATACAAATGAACTACTCCTAAGATACGTTGTGGTTTTATCACTCTTCACCCATGACCTTTTCCTGACCCATGACCTACTCCACAGTGTCTTTTGCTGCAGGATGGTTATACATGCCCTGTAGGACCAAGGAATAGCATTCTCACATGGTTTGGCCCAGGTGCCACCTCCTGCAAGTTTGACTATTTTTTTCCCCATCTGCAGGTCACCCAGCAAGTGTCCAGATAAGGCGTGAAGGGAAGCGAGGTTTTAGCTGACAACGCTCTATGCCATTATGGGAATGGGAATTACACTTTTGCTGGTGTCAGCCAGTGAGAATCTGAAATTGCCTGTTATACCTGCAAAACATAGCTTATTCTAACTGACACCTGTGTCAGTTAGGATATGTATCCGTTTAGAATGAGATAAGGAACATGATGAAAGTTAGTACCCTGTGAGGTCTGGCATGAAGTTAACGCCCAACTTCCCACTACCCTATCTAGGAATTCACTACTTTCACAACTATGACTGTTTTCTATCCTCTTGAATATAGATTAAGCAAAGCTCTTCTGGCCAATGGCTTCAGACCCCATCTCCTCTTTGAAATCTATAGCATTTTCTTCTCTTGATATCCTCTCCTTCTTGAAGGACCGGTCTTTCTAACGGGCCATTCAAAGCTTCTGTACTAAAACACTTCTTGACTCTGCATTCCATTCTGCTGGTTATTTCTCATTTCTTTCCCTTATTTCTCAGCCAAACTTTCAACTAGTCATCTGTGTGCTGTTTCCACTTCCTCGCCCACATCCAAACTCTAACACACTCTAATCTGGTTTTCATCTCTCTGTTGAAAACAAATTGCTCTTCGCATCATTGAAAGCCAATGTGTTGTCCATCCAAGGAACCTTTTTATGGGCTACTTCTACTCAGAGACATTTCTTTCAGTTAACCATTCTTAGCCTCATGAAGTCATCATTACTTGGATTCTAGCACATTCTCTTGGCTTTGTTCTTGACTTCTTTGTAAAGGACTTCTTTTCCTCCTTACTCACCTCTAAAATGGATGAGAAGTGCAACTTTTGCGGATCAGTACTGAGTTCTCTTTGCTTCTGTCTGTGCTTATTCTTACTGTGTCAAACTTGATCTCACAGAAACTCCTGTTGCTTCTGGAGTTGCCATTTTGCATCCCTTGCCTTGAAATATTCATAAGAGCCCTGTTGGTATATACTTCCTGATATACCACTTCAAAACATCCTCCTGAAACTTCAGGCAGAATTTGTACTTTTAAAACTTTAGTTCCCTCTCTTGATTTCTTAGGGAAAAAAAAGCCCATTGATCTCCAACAGTGTGGTTGGCATTGTAATAGATGTTAGGAATATAAAAGTGAATCATATATAATCCTCGCCCTTAAAAAGAGTTCTCAGTAAGTATGGAGAAAAATAAGTACAAAATTTTAAAAACAGAGCATTGTTCAGAACGTATCTTGTACAGCTCATGGTGAGAACATAAAGGCGAAAGAATCCAGGCTCTGGAGTAGTAACCGAGGAAGTTGTGGAAGAAGTCGTAATGACTAAATCATGATCAAACTGAAATTTATAGGAAGAAGTAGCATTACTCTCCAAGATGAGATGGGGGAAGGATTGTATGATGGATTGTAAAATAATTCCGCATTTTTACAGAGAGTCATGGAGACAGGAAGATATTATTCTGAAGCTGATTTAGGGCTTACAGCAACTATCTTCTGATATTCTGATTGATATTGATAAGCCGTTTCTAACGCATTTGGCTATCCCAGTCATCCTGCAAGTGTAGGCTCCATTACGCCACACAGGCAGGGCAAGTTAAGCAGCAGCACGTCTTGAGACTGGGAAGTCTGAATGCTGTCATGTTATTCCATCCTGGTAAACACATCCATCTGGATGTATTGTAGTCTTCTTTTGTTATCTGTTTGCTTCACTTGGTTTTTAGGAGTAGTCTTCTGGAAGGAGTGATGCTAAATTTCTTTCATAAGTACTACTGTTTATCAGAATCTAATTACCTTTTTGTTTGTTTTAAACTTCTTTTTCCAGGTCCAACATGTGACACAGAAAGTTAATTTGCCTCTCATAACCCTGACGTCTCGTATGGAAGGTGATTTGAGGCATGGTTTCTTCATTTCAGAGCCAGTTCCCTACTAATGTGCTGGGAAAGCTGAGGAAAAGGGTGCAAGTGCTTAGGCTATCGTACTTACCAGGGAGCCCTCGATGGCCTTCCAGGCTCCAGCCAGCGTGGCCATTTGAGGAGTAACCCAGAGGATGAAAACATCTCTTTCTCTTGATCCCTTTCCCCACTCTGTACACCTGTCTTTCAAATAAATATGACTCTTAAAGTTTTTTGAAAAGGTGCTCCAATTTAAGTTAATTGTTATTCATTTGAAAGGCAGAAAGAGAGAGAGAGAGACAGAGATAGAGAGCAACAATGTGAACAAGTGAGAGACACCGAGAACTTCCATCCTCTGGTTTACTCTGAAAGCTCACACCAGCCAGGGCTCCTCAAGGCTGAGGATAAGACAGAAGCTCCACTTGGGATTGTAGAGATACAAATGCTTGGGACATCATCTGCTGTCTCCTTGGGCACACACTAGGAAGGAAGTCAGGGACCCGACGTGGTAGCCTAGTGGCTAACACCTCACCTTGCAATTGCCAAAATGCCATATGGGCGCCGATTTGTGTTCTGGCTTGTGACCTGAGAAAGCAGTAGAGGACAGCTCAGAGCCTTGGGATCTTGCACCTGCATGAGAGACCTGGAAGAAGCTCCTGGCTCCGGGGCTCTGAATGGCTCAGCTCCAGCTATTGTGGCCAGATAGGGGGTAAACCAGCGGACAGATGTTTGTCTCTCCTTCTCTCTATTAAATTCCTCTCCAATAAATAAATCTTTATATATGTGTGTGTGTATATATATATATAATATATATGTACTTTTTTTTTAAGGGAGGAAACTGGAATTGGAAGTTGGAACTGGGATTGGAGAACAGGCACTTTAATACATGCATCCCCAAATCAGTACCTTCATTGCTGTGTCAAATCCTCACTGATTATTTACCTCAGTATTTAAATATCAACCCTTTAGAAATACTGAGTATTTAAATACTTTAAAACCAATTCTGAATATTAATCATCCATTTAAATACTTAACTTCTTCTATTTCAATATGCATCAAATGAGTTATTTGAGACTTCACTACAGAAAGAGAATCACAGTTGGTGGTGAATTTTAAAATAATGGAACCCACTGGAAGCGCATGCATCTGGGTAACTCAACGTTGTTGTCATAATGGCAACCGTGACTTCTATAATTTTATTATAATTATATAATTAAGTCTCTCATTTGAATATGGTTATTATTGGTACTGTTTATTATGCTCTTGATGAATACCAGTTTTTAAAGATTAAAAGTAGCAAATCCAGTGATGTCATATATACATAGACTCTCGAATATTTCTCACATCCTAGGACATGATAAAAAATGAAATTCCTTTCAGACTAGTTAAGGTAAAGAAATTTCGCTTTTAAATATATTCTGGGTAGTAGTTAAATCCTTTCATTTTGTAATGCCAAATTCAGTTGAGTGGTGTGAAAAATGTTTGTTACACCTTACAAAAGCTTCTTTCTTCATTCCTTAATTCATGACGGAAAGGCAAATTACTTGCAAAGAGCATATTCTTCATGAGATATTTAACTTCCTGGCTGAGTATGTTGGGGTGACTCAAATAGTTCCAGGGACAAACCTTCCCTATGGATTGCTAGCTGGCAGGCACCATTGTCTTACTTGACTTATTTTATAGTCGCAGCTGAATGGACTCTGGTAACTTCTCCAGTAAATTAGTCATTCTAGTGGATGGCCTACAGCATTTTTGTGAAAGCGGCAGACCCAAGAACAAAGACACAGTAATGGTATGAATCAGCTTTTGCCCTGTGACTTCAAAACCAAGTTGGAAAAAAAAAAAGTGGTGGTAGGAAAGTGTGGAAAACCAATTTTGTGAAGATAGAAACAGTTTGTAAAACACTGTGACTTGCTACCTGTTGAGCTCTAATCCATTCATGTGTTCATTACAATTTTCAAATAAAACTTGATGGAACAGAGCAGTGGGGGCAACCACTGACACAAAAATTGGCTTCACTAAAACGAGGACTCATTTTCCCTTTAGAACTTGAACTACTGGGCACAGGGAGACCAGTGCACATTTATGCTTCCCACTCTCCAACCACATGAATAAGGATATGTGATCTTTGCTATTAAGACATGCTCAGGAACGAGGAGGTCTACCGGGCAGACTGTGTGAGCAGAGACTAAGCAACGTGTAAGCTGATTGAAATCAAAAGCTAACATGTTGTGAGCTTCTGTGGTCCTCATGCTCCTCGTGTCAATTCTTGGCATTCGAGATGGTGTTTATGATGCCACACGTCTAGACTGCTACCAAGGTCATTAATTTCTATCCTGGCCAAGTGAGTCCTGGGGAAGTCTGGCTTATTATTTCTGATTAGGAAAATGCACTTTGGTGCAGTGTGAGTGAGGCAGCTCACAGCTGTGGATAATAAGGCTTTAGGTATTAGCTTTTCCAGGTGTCTCTCACTTTGTATCTGACAGCTTGCATGTTATCCGTCAGTACACTGACAAAGAACGGGCTGTCTCAAGTGCGGAGAGAAAGGTGACACTCACTGTAGAATGTAATTTAAAGGGAAAAAATATTTGTCCACTGTGACAAAATAAAATCACATAATATACAAAAAAATTGAGCTTCTAATTCTCACTATATCTCAAGATTGCTCGTAATTTTAATGTCATTTAAGATGTGGATCCAGTCTTTATTATTAGAGACAATGCAAAAAAATTATTAACACTGGTATAGACAATATATTCTAAATGTGCCAAGGGATATGTGTCACCAGAAAGGAGGCGATCTAGCCTCTTAGTAGAGTTTGCCATTTCAGTCATGTAGATGATACTGAACAATTTCAGAGCAAAGTAGTAGGGTTCACAAATACACAATGCAGCCCCCAAAGGCTCCAATATCTTGTCCCATGATCATATGAAACTTGTTTTTTTTTTGCCATGACTTGCATCAATTAAAGTTGAGATACAAGACATTCTATGATATTATATACTGGCGGACTGGATAGTTAGCTAGATAGAAACATTGCTAGGGGGTTATGTAGACACTATTCACTTAAACATTCATTATGTTTTTGAAGAAGATCCAGAGAGTATTGTCTGCAAGGAAGCACTGAGCCGCACAATGGCAAAGGAGTTCCAATCGGCAGTGACTTTCTGCT